CTTGCAAACCTCTTTAACTTTTCCTGAAACTATCATTTTAATCCACCTGCCTGTTCAAACAGGGGTGAAATGGGTAACAGAAAAGTGCTACATTCTCAGTTCTTACCAGAGATTAGAAGCAAGTATAATCAAATGTTCAGTTGTGAAAAATATTGTGTAATCCATCAAAATAATATAATAGATCCATAATATATACATCTTTCCCGTTACGCTATTGTGACTTCGGGACAAAGTCAGACAGCAGGAAGCTATAAACATGGGAAACATGAGTTTAGAAAATTTGCACCCTGTTTACAGGTCTACAGTATGAGGCGTGAGGGGTACTCTCAAACTGTTCCTGTCTTTAGAAGGCTGAGAAAACAATCCATTACTCCATACTAAATAAGAAACTATTAACGTTTCTCCTAGAATATAATGCCTCAACTATGACCTTATAAAAACAAAATGAAGCAAGCAACCAAAAACAAAAGTTCAGCTTTCTACAACTTCAAACTTACCAAAACTGAGTAACAGTAACAAGAATCCCCATGAACCAATTATGAAAACCCAACACACTTACATTTTGCTCATTTGCTGTGGAGTTCTCTTCTCTGCTCTTACATATGTGTACATCTTTCCTGAACCAGCTGAAAACACTGTTCTCTACTCTAAAACTTTCCAGAGGCATTGTTTCACATAAGCACATGATAAAAATATCATTACCATATCTAGACTTCCTGATTAAATTGTGTCATTTGCCTAATGTTCTTTGTAGTGACTTTATTCCACTCTAAAATCCAGCTCAAGAACACACTACATTAGAGCTTATGTAACATATATATATATATATATGGAAGCTTCTGCCTTTTTTTTCTTGATCCTGACATGTTTGAAGAAGAAACATCCTTTGGTGTGGGCCAGTCCTCAATGTGCGATGTTCAATCATGATCAGACAAAAGTATAAATGTCTAGAACAAATATTAGCAGATGATGTTATCTTCCTAGGCCACATGGGAGTATGGATTAGTTTTCCTAACTAATTTTGATCATGTCATTAATTTAGAATCCTCAAAGTACTGATTGCCAAGTTTCTCCACTATATAGTTACTATGTTTCCCTTGTAATCAACTGGCAAACTATGAAGAAATGAGCTGAGATTATGCAAAACTATACTGCTTCTCACTAAAGTATCACCCACTCATTTTAGTGTGGAGTGATGATTTTATAACTCCCTCTCTCCTTCTCTATGTCAGTATTATTCCACAAGGGAGAGTTTTGCTTCTGCCCCCATTACACTCTCTTCTTTATACCACAACAAGATGTTCTTGTTCCATTTTGTACTTTTCTCGACTTTATTTTGATACAGCTACACTGACGATCATTATCTGTCAGGGATGGCACTAAGCATTTTACAGACATCATTTCATTTAAGTCAAACAACTCCAGGAAAAGTGGAACAGCAGGACTGGGGAAATCAAGTATTGCCTCTGGCACGCTCAGCTAGGAAATGCTGAAATAGTTTTCAAATAGAGAAATGTTTAAGCAAGAAATGTATGTTTACAGAGGAGCCAGTGAATAATTTAGCTCAGTTACAGCACAGGTAGCAAAGCAGAACAGTAGAGACTGAGTGGGAGAGGAGAAAGGCTGGGCAGATTAGCCTGAAAGCCTGACTACAGAGTTGAGTATGTCATAGTTAATCTTGATTGTCAATTTGATTGGACTGAGAGATGCCTAGATTACACTACAGCATACCTCTAGGTAAGTCCATGCAGGCATTTCCAAAGTGCACTAGATCATGAGAAATCTAATTATTAATAGTCTAATAATTCACTGATGAATTCAAAATCTGAATAAAACTATGGGAAGGTGGTACAAGGTGGAGCCTGGTTAGATGAAATGTATTGCTGTGGTCAAGTCTTTGACAGGTGTATCTTGGCTATGGCCCCTTCTTGTTACAGTTCTCTGCTTCCTGGATACTAAAAGTGAAGAGTACATTTCTACCATGCCCTTCCATCATGATGTTAAGCCTCACTACAGGCCAAGATGCAACGGAGTTAAAAATAACAGACTGGAAGTAGGAGCTGAAACAAAACTGTCCTCCTTATAAACCCAGTTGTTACAGACAAAAATCAAAATCTAATTAATATGCATAACACCCATTTCAAGTAAAGTAAAAGCAATTGAGTGACCCAAACATGACAATATGACAAAAAGACTTATTAAGGAGTAAATAAGAAGGATAAATTGGGAAAGATAAAGGAAGTAACAGGTTGTTTTTCACAATCAGCTATTAAAATAAAGCTGCCTCTTCTGATACACAAACATAACAAAAGAGCTGAGCACACAGATGCCATATTATTTCTTCAGATGCCAGCCAGTTAGCTCAAGACCCCTTTCTCTATTACAACGATGATACATCAATTCTTTTATGGCTGCTGGCAAAGACTTATGAACTGCTATATAAAAATATCCAGTATGGTGCCCAGTGGCAAGTAAATAGTAAAACATCTAAAAGTGAGTATAAAAATATTTGTTATGCCGAGCGGTGGTGGTGAATGTCTTTAATCCCAGTACTCAGGAGGCAGAGGTAGGTGGATCTCTGTGAGTCTGAGGCCAGCCTGGTCTACATACTGAGTTCCAGAACAGCTAGGGCTGTTACAAAGAGAAACCCTGTCTCGAAAAACAAAAACAAAACAAAAAAACAACAAAAATATTTGTCACATTCCTATCAAACCTTTCTCCTTTGTGATTCTGGTAAAAGAAATCTAAGATTTTCTGGCCTACAGAAAACCTACAATCATACTGACATTCTCATTCTTGTAATAGTTAAGAGTAAGAGAATAGTGACAAAAATGTCTTCAAGATATATTTTATCCAGTTGGGCAGGTATTATTCGATAGGTCAGAATCCTAGAAATGGATTACTGAGTCACAACATATTTACATACTGAATTTGGTAAATACTACCAGTTTTAATTTTTTTTAAAAAAAAGCAGAAGCTAGGGTTGATAAGATGGCTCAGTGGCTAAGAGCACACACTGTTCTTGCACATTTTCTAGCTCCCACTACAGACATCAGGGTGTTAACAACTGCCTAAAACTCCAGCTCCCAAGGGTCTGAACCGCTCATCTGCACTTTCTGGATACTGCATCCACATGCACAAATCCACACATACATCCACATAATTAAAAATAAAATCATTTTTTCTTAAAGGTAGAAGCCATTTATATTCAACATCAGTGTGTTCTATTAAATTTGTAATCCCTGCTATTATCAGTATCTTAATTTCTTTTCCTATTGCCTTGATAAAAATACTTGGGCAAAAGCAACTTTAGGAGGAAAGGGTTTATTCTGGTTCATAGTTCAACGGTACAGTCTATAGTGGGGAAGTCAAGGTGTGGGAACTTTAAGTACCTGGTTACAATATATCCCATCAGGAAGTAGAGAAGGAAAAATGCATGCTGCTGCTCAGCTCACTTTCTACATTAGTGCAGTTTAGGAGTCTGACCATGAAAAGGTGCCACCCACAGTGGGTGTGTCTTTCCATATCAATATAACCAATATAATTCTCCACAGGCATGTCTGGAGGCCCATCTTCTAAGAGATTTTAATCAAGCAGACAATTAACACTAACCATCCCAATCTACATCCTTACTCACTGTCAATCTATTTAAGACAAATAATCTTAAATAAAGGAGGAGAGTAGAAGAAAATTTGAGTTTATAGCAACTAGATTTATTTCCAGTGAAGTCAGATAGTCCATTGCAGACAGAAAGAAGATAATGATGAAGCTTTAGGTAGAAGAGATTTTGTGAAGGTTCCTAGAAGAGAAATTATCAAGAGTCTTAGTCAAAGATAAACAATGTGAGCTATAATAATAATCAGTCTGGTATGATTGTTGTAATATTGGCCTGAACTCTTTGGGGGCAACACACCACGACCTTCTGGTTAGATTTAAGGCCTGCTACACAGAATGAACTCTTGACTAATACTATAAACCCAGCCATGAACCCATGGTGTGGATACCACAGGTCCAAGGGAGAACCTACTATTACTATTTTGCTAAATAGACATTGTACCAAACTGCCTCCTAAATACTTATCTTTGCACTCTTGATTAGTTCAGCCCTCAACAGAGGAGGCTTTTTTTTTTATAGTGGACACAGTTAAAATATTAGGACTCACAATTAGTTCTGGTGAAGAGAAAGTGACTATGGAGTGCTCAGTTGTTGAAAGGACAAGTATTCACATACATACAAACATACCCCCAAGATTAAGGGAACATTAATAGAAGAAAGGGCAAAAAGGAGCCATACTGGGGAAGTCTGATGCAAAACCATCTCTTCTGAACATGACAGACCTATGTACTCATGGACTCACTTTAACTGCAGCTATCTGTACAAGATTAGGATCATTAAAACTTAATCACAGAAGGGTAAGAGCTTTTGAGGCCACACCCCTCCCTGAGGGATTACTGAGTTAATGGTGGCTGGGAAAATGAGTATCACTCTCTTCGGTCATATAAAGTTGCCTAGTAAATAACCTTCCAACCAGGCTCATGCAGAAGCCCCATTTAAATTCACTGCATCACAAACATTAAAAGACATAAAAGTAGGAAGGAGGCGTATTGGGTAGAAGAAAGGTTTCAGTGAAAGAAGTTGGAGAGAATAAGAAAGGTAATATGGGGAGGTGAGACTAATTAAAATTCATTATATACAACTATGAAAAATGTCAAATTAGAAAACCTTAAAACAAATAAGTAACCATAGTCTACAGGGTAATTCTGAAGAACAGATAACATAAATCAAACTTTTCAAGTGTGTATTAAACAGAGAACAGCCACCGCAAAAAAAGCTACTTGTTATAAATAAAAACCATACTATTTCTTAGGTTAAAATGACACTTGCTCTCAATCAAAATTTTGTTTTTGAAGCATAAACTATTTATTAATTTGGTATATTTCAAAACCAAACGGTCAAATTCAGTTGTATCTGTAACAACTTTTTCTCCTAGCACTCTTTTTAAAAATATGGAATGCTTCAAGAATTTGCCTATCATCGTTGTGCAGAGGCCATGCTAATCTTCTCTGCAGCGTTCCAATTTTAGTATATGTGCTGCCAAATCGAGCACTCTCCTGGCACTCTTAGTATTTCTAGCAAGAAGCCCTGTATTTGAGCAAAGCGGCTAACTCCCTGGTTGAAAGGGAACAGGCATGTTTCCTCTTGGTGGAGCACGCTTACAGGTTTTCATGACCTTTGTACACATCGCTTAGTGTTGAACCCAGAAATCTCCCCACCATTCTCTAACTCATTTGCTCTTATTAGCAAGTGGAGAAATGCAATGGGATTTAAAGTTCTGCTGAGAACTACAGAATTGCCTCACTGCATCTTCCCATTGAGGATGCAGGGGAAGAACCATAGGTGGAGCCAGAGAGCTGCTTCAGGGATGTCCCGTTCACAGCTTCCACAAGCCTACTTGACAGCTGAGGTGAACTACAACCTCCTGCTTTCAAGGAAAGACTATTCTGCTTTCACTCTCCAGTCACACACACTACCCTTCCTGTTTCAAGTTTCGTGTGCCCCCCTCATACGATGTCTCCTTACATTCATCACAGTCACCACAGACAGTGTTCTCAGTCTTGAGAATTAGTTGTATTAACTTGAAAGGAGGCACGTCTGGCAGCAGTTCCTGTCTGTTCTGTGACATTAGTGACTACAATGCACAATGAACCATTGTTACCATCATCAATCATCAACACCTTTGCAATTTCTGAGATGAAACTAAAACTCAAAAGTGAACTCTAATGTCTTAAAATCCAACTCCTATTGAAATGATAACACATGAGGACAGAATTGTCTACAAGACTGATGTGGCATTTATTAAGAATGTTCCTTGGCATCACCCTTATAAATACACTTGTAATTTGCTTCATTAATATATGTTGAGTCCTGATGACTAATCTGACTGATTATTAAAGCCAAAGATCAGTTGGTGTTTTGAAAAAAAAATCACCATTTTCAGACACTACTAAAAGAAAAACTGTTTTGTTCAGATTATTTCCCACATAGAATCCCAACTTCTGTTGAAATAATAAGCTCTAAAAAAAGAGAAGAATACATGAAAATGTTTTTATATGTCTTGTATCACCACAGGTAGAGAGAAAGTTATAAAGGAGTAAGCTGTCCATGTTGTAAGATTTGGAAAATTCCACCATACATATACATACACACACACACACACACACACACACACACAAATATATGTCATATAGTTAAGATAAACAAGCTAAAGAGTCATTAATGTTATAGAGTAACATTTTATGAGATTTAATGGTTGGAGAGATGACTCAGTCAGTAACTGAATTGCTATTATGGGAAGACCTGAGTTTAATCCCTAGAACCCACATAAAAAGTCAGATATGGAGGCACATAGCTGTAATCCTAGAGCTGGGGAGGCCAAGACAAAAGAATCCGTATAGGGTCTTTTGAATCCCTAGTCTTGCCTAATTGATGAGATAGATCCAGGTTCAGTGAAAGACCCTGTCTCAAAAAATAAGGTGGAGATAGATAGATTGTGGACAATACCTAATGTCAACAACCTCTGGCTTCCACATGTGTGTGCAAGTGTGTACATGTACACACACACACACACACATACACACACACACACACACACACACACACACTTTTAAGAGATGGGTTTAGAGCAAGGGCTATCACATAATAACTCAGAGGGCAAATCTAGTCCACTACTAATCCTATAAGTAGAATTCTTATTGGAACTGCACTATGCCTATTTGTTTACTATAATCTATGGTCAAAGAGACTAAAAAGCCTGCAAAGCTTAAAATAGTTACCATCTGGCCCTTTACTGGTCAGAAAAAGTACTGCCTACTGATTTAGAGAATGGCAGATAGAATATAAACAAATGAGAGATAATTATAATTAAAGCTTATTGTGGGAAGCAATCACACACACTCAATTCTGTTAGAAACGCTAGTCTATTCCATAACTAAATACAAATGTCACAGATAGCATCTGGTAAGATACTATCATTATAATGATCTTATTTGGAGAAGCCTGTGCCAACCAAGCAAATTTTATCCCCTTGGAGTAAGCCATGTCAGACACTCTGCAGTGAGCCAAGATTTGATGTTAGCCTAGATTGGAATCTCTAAAACATCCTGAAAAACAGCAGGGATGGCTATAAATCTCCTTGAGTTAAATGTTCAGGAAAAGAAGAGATACAGAAAAGTCACAGACACCAACATGTCCTAGGGAAGGCTGAGAAGGAACAAGGCAGTAAGACACAGCAGGTGGTGTTTATGATAGCAATGATGGCAAGTTCAATATTAATCCGAGACACACAAGTAGAAAGAAAATGTTTAACCATTCTTGAAGGTCTTAGATGCAGATTCCTACAGGCAAAGACAGTCCATTTTCTTGAACAGGACTAACCAGTGTCACCAAAATGTCAGTGTGCTCAAAGTTAATTTTTTAATTTAAAGAAATGCCAGTAAAACCCACTAACAAGTTTTTCTTCGCCTAGAACAAAACAATTTTACTATAAAGCTCATGTTGAAAATGACAGGAAATAGCCTTCCATAAAGTTCTAAATATCAGCAATAAAAAGCAAGGGTTGTTGGAGAACTGGCATTACTGAATACTAGAACACATTGTACTGCTAAAGGTATTCCAGTATGGTGCTCTGGCATTATTCAAAAAGCCAAACAGAAGAGAAGGTTAAGAAACATATCCAAACACATATGAAACAGTCATGGATGAAAAAGGCTGCACCACAAATCAGGGTAAAGAATGAACTTTTCTCTTAGTAATGCAGAAAAACTGAGTGGCCATCTAAAAAGATAGATCCTTATTTCTTGTCCTACTCAAACAAAAATTCTACTTGGATCAAAGTTCTCCACACAAAAAAACAGAACCATGTAAATACTAAAGGAAAAAGAAACCAGTAAATTCCTTTATATAATTAAGAGAACAGAAAGTCTTTCAATTATGACTCAAAATTGAGGGCCATAAGGATAATTTTAAAAATAAATTCTACTATATATAAAATTTGTTTGATAAAAGTATTATAAACAAAGTTAAAAAATGAAAAATGTGGAAATACTTATCACAAATGGATAATCTTTCTAGAGATCCTAGAAACTGAGAAAAAATGAGCAAAGAGTACAAATAAGCAATTCGCAGAACTATACAAACTGAGAACATATTATGTGGTTCTTCAAGAATATAAAAAGATGCCAGCCTCAGGGGAGAAAATTTTTAAACGTTTATCCTACAATGACACACTCCTCCTCATTTAAAAGATGTACAAAAATCCAGAAATTTGGTGATGCACTCTGTAAAGAAATACACACAAGCATGGAAGAACATTTGATACAATCACAAATGGTTAAAAGACAGATTCTGCTCAAATGAGTTTTCTATGAAACTTGAAAACAATATATGTATAAGTTAAATCCTGAAAGAACAACATAAGACAAAACTACACACAACAACTTAAGAATCCAGTCATAAAGAACTACACAAGAACACAATGGAGTGAAATGGAGTACTATGCAGAAATTTAAAAGACCAAGGAAAATCTTTATGAATTGATATGAAGCTGACGTAACTTTTTTGTTATATTAATGATGCTTTAGTATGATAATCATATAGTTTCAAAATACCACACAGAACAACTTACTTTTAAAAGGAAAATATCATCTTACAATGAAACACTCATATAGTTATCTACTAATCCAATTCCAGCACTCTGGAATTAGTAACAACCAGATAACAGATTTCTCTTAATGCTTTACAATATAAACATTCCTACTATATAGTCCAGCCCCAAATGTCTAACTTCAATCTATCTAGCCTTTCTATCTAACCTCACAAATACTGAAATTCAGTAGAAGTAAAAAATAATCTAAAAGACATAGGCAAGGAAGTTTTCCTGGACTGGACAAGCCCTTTGTAATTTGTCATGTCTGAACACAGACTTGTTTAGCAGATGACCACACTCTCTTTGCAGCTCCCCCTCAGCAATACATAAATCTAGGTTGATCATGTGTTGGCAGAAGACTACCTTAGTTCCTAGATGAACTGTGCACTCATTCCACTCTGAGCAACATTCATACGCTGCTCTCGGGCTGCCAGTACGAAGAAGCTGACTTGTACTAAAGGATGGGAAGCCACATTGGAGAGAAACAAGGCGGCCCAGCGAACAATGGCACCAATTGTCAGATACGAAACTCTACCATGGATCTTCTGAACAGGCTAGCTCTTCTACTACATACCATGTAAGTGAGAACAGCCTAAAACAGTAGAGAAATGCCCTTCCCAGCTTCCCAAAATCTTAGGAAAATATGTCATTGTTTAGCTACTCCATTCTAGGTGATTGTTGGACAGCTATAGATAAATTAAACAACTGATTATTGAGTAAAATGAAAACATATTAGTTAGGAAATGTAATAAAATAACGTATTCTATTTCTGCGAGGAAACATCATAACCACAGCAACTCTTACAAAAGGAGAATGTAATTGGGGACTTGCTTACAGTTTTATAGGTTTAGTTCATCATCATCAAGACAGGAAGTATGGAAAGTATACAGGCAGGCACTGGAGCAGTAACTGAGAGTGCTACATCCTGATCCAGAGAAAGGCAGAGACAGAGAGACACAGAGAGAAACAGAGAGACAAGACAGAGAGACAGATAGAGAATGGCCTAACTATTGGCTTCCATAGCTATCTCCTATGTCAGTCCAAACCTACATACTCTTGAAAACTAATATACAAATCAGAGCCCACTTGGCCATCAAGTTCCTTGCATTTTCTTGGATGCACATTGAATAATAATGGAGTATGGAATAGAGGTATACAAATTTCTTTACACTAGGAGTCTCACTTCCAAAGCAAGATGCTAACAGAAGAATGAGAGACAAAACAATTTCTTCTAAGTCCATACTATGTTGCCTCAAGACCTAAAGAAAAACGTTTTCATAGAAAGTATGACAATGGACACTTACCTAAGATGAGATGAAGTTTAGTCTCTGTCTGGAAAGCATAGTGCAATGTCACCAAAAATGGTGACTGTCTAATGTGCTCCAGAACTTGCCGTTCTGTCC